AGCCGAGGCCAACAGGATCAATGATCTCTACAGTGACACCCTTGCCCGTCATTTCCGACAGGTGTTGAAGAAGAGAGAGAAACAGACCACCTTGGACATGTTTTTCAAAAAGCAAGCTGCCAAAAAACAAAGGATGGAACAAGAGAAGTTGACCCTGCAAGCTCTGGTAGCCTCTCCTGAATCTGACTCCGATTAAAAAATAATAAAAAGAGACCTGCTGCAATGTGTAAAAAGTCTGTATCTGTATGAATGTGTGAAGTAAGTGTTCCTCCACCTCCTCCTCACATCTGACTACCTGGCATAATTGGTGACTGCTCCATTTTCATTTTTTTCATGGTACAGTATGGTTATTTTATGCTGCGGAACGAATTATGTTTTAATATGTATTTCTATGGGAAAATGCATTTCGTATAACGGACTTTTCACTTAACAGACGTGCACCTGGAACGGATTAAGTACGTTATATGAGGCACCACTGTATTATAGTAATTTTTTGCAAATTAATTTTTGTAATTAAATATTAAGTTTTTACTTTCTATAAAAATGTTTTTATATACAAACTTTTTGTTGTTTTATCATTTTACATGCTTTACATACAAAAATGATATAAAGTGATTTAAGTTTTAAAATTGTCTTCTCTGTAAACACATTATCAAATAAAACAGTGAATCTTGAAGAATTTGACAGAGAACTAGCATGTAATTTAGTATTTTTTTCTATGAAAAAAAAAAATTTAAGTATCTTTGAATCAAAAATATGAATAAGCAGAATAATTATTTTTACTGGATACTATTTTATGCTAATTTATTTAATAACATTTTTAGAACTTTCTATTAAGTATGGGATGAATGATTTTGGAAAATAAAAAGTGTAAACAATATAAGAAATAAATGTGTGTAATGAATAAAAGTGTTAAGAAGCAAATACACCAAAAAAATTATTAGTTACATTTCAAAAATGTTTTCATAGTTAAATAATTTTGTGTGGTCTTTAATTATTACTTCAGTTTTATTCTTCTTTCAATCTATGGTAGGAAACACTTATGTTAATCTTATAAATATAATTATACAATTCTTTATTAAATTTCTGCTATGTGAAAAATACACATGTAAATGTTTAATGTTTATTTTGATGAATATATTCATTCTGTCTGATGGAGTCTCACATAAGAGTTTTATGTTAGTTCAGCAATATAGTATAAAAAAAAATAGAAAAATAACAGAAAGAAGAAAACTTTGTTGTTTATTTGTAGGACCATGTCAAACAGTTTTGGCACCTGATGTGAATCTCATACCTAGTATCCATGTTTCAATGCTAATTATATAAAATATATAATTAAAATATTTACTTATGTGGCTTTTCAAACAGATTAAACTACAAAAATATTTAGAAGTAATAATAAAAAACAGAGAATAAAGAAATAGTAATTTTTAATAGAAACTTTAAAATCTGAGAGAACATTCAGAATGCATTTTATCAAAAGAAGAAAAAAATCAAATATGATTTAACTGTTGTAAAGTATACAACTTAATGGTTTACATTGTATAAAACATATACAGTAGAGTGTCGTTTATCCGAAAAAATTCCAGTCGGCAAATTTAAATTTTTGCTAGTGCTGTGGCGCTGCAATCTTTGGCTATATCTTGGGCTTCTCCAATATTTTTTTGTTGATGTATGTTTTTAGCTGGCAGCACTGGCACATTTGTGTGGTGTTTTTCTCAGGACTGTGTGTCATGCTGAATCGAATGTTTTTGATACTAGATTAACTTCCAAAGTATAATTTTTTTTATTTTTATATTTTTCAATATATTTATTTTGTTTGTACAAAATAAAGAAATAATTTTTAACGATACAATAGCCATTATTATTATTTTAAAAAGATTATGTTAGGCTTAACATCGACAAAAATTCAATGTGAAGCGACTCGCAACGGAGAAAAATTTCAACATGGGATGGGTTCATGTATTTTTTCATACATAATCGGTTATCCGAAAAATAAGTTATCCGAACAACCCCAGTCCTCAATTGATTTGGATAAACAACGCTCTACTGTATTTTCATTTAAAACAGATTTTCTATCATTAAAAATAGATGTACAGTACATTACAATACAAATGATTCAATCAAATAGTGGTTTATCCATTCTTCAGATTTGTTCATAATATGTTTATATAATATATAGTTAAGACATTCAGAACTGCTTTATTGTAATATGCAGAGTCATATTGCATGTTGTGATTTCTATATCACGTTTTACTTTTGTTGTTGTTTAAAAGTAAATATTGAGTTTAATAAGCCTTTGTGATATAAATCCTACATTCATGCTGCATGAAGTGTTAAGTGATAGTATTCTTAGACAGAAAATGGAAGATATGGATGAAACAATTAATATAGAAAAAGGAATTGTGAGAAATTTCAGGAGGAAATGGAAGAAACAGATAATTTGAGTATTACAGAAATGTACTTTCTACAGAAATGCCTGACAACGTAACTGAAGAGATAGCTAGATGGCCTAGCAGTTAAGGTGGCAGTCTACTGCTCTAGGAGATATGGGATTGAATTCAAAAAACTCCAGGATTTTTTTGGGGGTGTTTTGTCAGGATATGTTGGGTTCATTGCTTATTCCTTTGCCAAATCCATAATGGTTTGCTTAAAAAAAGGCTCTCTTGTTATTCACAGTGTGGAAAATATTTAAAAAGAAAAAGTGATGGAAAAACCTGAAATTTATTGTGATTGTTTGGAAGAAGAAAGATGCAAGTTACATGTTTAAAACATTTACAAAAAAATTCCCCCCCTCCTATTTCTTTAAAATTGTTAAGAACTGGATGCTGTAATGATACAATCACAAAAAAAATCCTTTTGTACTTTTTTCTTTATAAACAGTGTTTTGTCCATTATCTGTTCATTCAAAAGGTAATTTGTTCACAAAAATTAATTCAAAATGTGTTTTGTTTTGACATTAAAAAATCATTTTTTAAATAGTTTTTCTATCTCAATGTTAAACACTTTTAATAATTCAGAAACATTGAGATAGAAAAACTGTTAAAAAATGATTTTTTTTTAATATGGGAACAAAACACATTTGCATGAATCTTGGTATACAAATCTTTTAATAATAATAATGTGGTTNTATCATTTGCAAGATATTTAAAAAAAATTACATTAATAATTTTTTAAATTAACAATAATTTTAATTTTTTTTTTGTCAGGAGGAACAATTCAGCCAGGAATGACTGCTACTACACATCCAATGTCTACATCTCCACATCCTGGATATGGTCCTAATTCTGTATCCACTACACAGTCACAGTCTACTCAACCTCAGCAGTCTCCAAATCAGCAAGCTATACAACAGCAACAGCAGACACAACAGCAGCAGCAACCACCACAACAGCAACAACAACAGCAGCAGCAACAGTCACAAGCACAATCACAACAACCAATTGGTAATTATTCAAGATCACCAATGATGCAACAGCAATATACAATTCAGCAAAGTAAGTGTTATAATTTTTAAATTTACAAAAAGTTACATAAAAAATTTACTAAGATTTATTTTATCAGATGAATTATAAGTGTTTTTTATTAGATGCAAATATAAAAAGATATGAAATGTGATGATAATTAAATGGATGATTTCAGGTTTTTTTCACAATGGTTATGGTCTCTCAAATTTTCTTTGAAGAATAATTTCAAGTATAAAGTTTTAGATATCCTGTTTGAATAAAAATGATAATATAATGCATATGTATAGTTTGCAACAAAAAAAAGATAGATGAAATAAATAGGAATAAAATTTATAATACTGAAACACTGAATAATTGCAGAATATGCAGTATAATTAACAAGGTTGTATATTTTATTTCATCTGTGTATTATTAATTTATTGGGTTGGTGCTCCACCAACCCAATAAAATTGAGTTCATAAGGAAAGAGTCACTTTTGTATGAAAATCATTGTGTTTCAAAATAATATGCAGTGAATCTCTTCCACCACTTTCATACTGATTTTATCTTACTCCACTCAAATACCAATATCCATCATTTCCACTAATCTATCACCATAACTGTATATTTTTTACATATTTACAGTGTATTTTTGTCAAAGGCATTCTTATGGTTAAAGCATGTTGTTTTAATCTGATAACATTTGAATCTGGCGATACTATTGGCCAAGGTTTGTGTTTTTTCTCTACCATCTATGCACAGCTGACATGGTGAATGAGCAACGAAATGAGCGAACTTCCAACAGAGAAACTACATTTGTTGATGAAAGGATACAAAAAAGAAGACATAGTAAGTGATGGATGTCATACATTGTGATTTTTGTGACATAGCAATTAAAATAGACAAAAACCATCAAACATCCTGAACAAAGAGCACATTAACAACTCAAAACATGTGACAAACAAGCAACTTCTTTTAATATATTTAATGAAAAAACAAACAGAAGAAGACAATGCTCAAAACCAAATTTATACAGATCTGACAAGCATGTTCCTGCAGTCAGGAATCCCATTGAACAAACTTCATCATCCAGCAGTTAAAGAATTTTCAAGAACTGTATGAAAAAATCTCTCACAGATGAAAGTATGCTCCATAAGAATTACATCTTTTCTATACACGAATCTGGAATCTAAAATATTAGATGTAGAATTGAGACAACTATGTATGCTTTTTACTAGATTAAACAACCATTGCATTTCTCAATATGTACTAAATGTTCTAGTGCTACCACTGGATGGTGAACCTGCTAAACCAATGTTGTTGAAAATTTATAACCTGGTGTCCATGAACAGTTGTAAGATTGTATTTTCAATACTGAACTGAATGAGCACCCAAAACTACATACAGGTATATATCAACAGTTATTCAACAAAGATAGATTTTCCTTTCCAAATGATCATTAATCTAGAATAAATAAGACAAATAATAAAGTTACCTTACATTCACAGGGTGGCTAATAAGTATTTTAAATTAGTTTATATATATTTAACATGACAATCTTGTCATAATCTAATCATAACAATGTTGTATTTGTTGGAACTTGGAATTAACTTTATAAGTAATTTACAATTCTATTAGGCAGTTGGAATGAAAGAAAAGATGGGAGTGGGGATACTATTTGAGAGAGGTACTCCCAATTTTCAATATTGAGGATCATGGCAATGTCATTTTCATCTTTCTCACATATGAACAGGAGTTATACCATATTGGGTGATCTTTTTTCTCTTCCAACCTTCATCACTGATCACTGCTATTGTTCTTCCACACTTGCACCCAAGGAAAAAGAGTTCTTCCATCCATCCATACATTATATATATACTATTTCCCTGTGGTCTTATTGCCTAGAGTATATATATAATTTCCTTCTGGGTAATGCTAGGGGCAATTTCATGTTGGGTTTATTGCTCCTCTAGGTAACATACTATGATTATATAGGGACAAGAGAACAACATGAATGGACAGTGACAGAATATTCTAGAATCACACAAATGAAAAAGTCTATAACCAAACACAATTCATATACAACATGACAAGTGATTGTCACACCATAGCATTGTAATAGTCATTTGTTGTTGCTTGTCATATCCTATGGCCAAGTGGCTTAAAAGTCTTGATGTTAGTAACAGATCAAGCTAGATACAGTAAATGCTATCTGTTGTATCTTCACTAAAGCTGTTTTTTTCTTAAGCTAAAGCATGTAATTTGCTTAGTACATGCTTTACATCCTGACCACAGAAGTAAACACACTAAATACAGTAAAGCTAATAGGTTTTTAGCAGAAGTGAAGAAAGTTTTATTGAAAGCATTATATCATCAGCAGTTTTAAAGGGAAGTAACGAGCCTGTCATTTGTCTGTAATCTGTTGTGACCAGATGGGGAACTTGGATTACTGCAGATTTGTTTTATGCTGAAAATTTTGATTTGATTAAACATTTTTTGAATACATTGGAGATACAGATGCTGAAGCCATTAAAACCGCAAAGACTAGTTACTGGCAAGGACACAGTATTACAGTTGTTCTCAGTTCATAATTACAAATTACTTATGAAAGGTCTAAATTAGCTGGAAGCTCAGAACTTAAAAAAGACATAGTTAAGAGCAGTGGAACATACTAAAAATATTGAAAACAGTCTGAATGGTTTTACAAAGACCTCAGTGTTGTTGCTTTCTGATCTTTGGAATGTTTTAGATTCTAGAAAGTTTGAGTCTCATACTATTTGTTCAAATTTAGCAATAATGTCATTAATAATGTTAATAGAAAATTTGCTATTTATTTTAATAATAAATGGAAATAAATATAAATATTAATCTTTTGTCCAGTTTTACTTATGTGCAGACCAGACCTCTTTCCAGATATTTATAGTTATTAAACATTTGAAATTTTATAGAACATTGTATTTGTATAATATATTTTGTATTTTAATTCTGCATTTTAATTAGTCAGTACTTTAATTATTATATATTTATAATTTTATGATAGACTTATTTATAATGATTCATCTTAGATCTTTTTATCCAAAATGTACAGTACAATGTATTAAAGTGAAACAAGTTACTGAAGAACTTTTTCCAAAATAAAATAAATCTTGATACTTATAAATTAGTATTTGACTTGTTTTTATTTTTAAAACTGAAATAAACTAATAAATAATTTAAATAAATCTCATTATTAATTAAGTAATTTTGAAATTATACAAATCCTGTAAGCTCAATTATCTAATATATACAGCTGCATGCAAGCACACACACACACACACACTTGTATTATATTTATAATATTAGTAAATACAGTGGTGCCTCGTATAACGTACGCCTCGAATAACGGACTTTCTGTTCGGCTGTTACGTGACTCGAGCAACGGACTGGCTGCGAACAACGAACTTTTCGTTCGGCAGTTACATGAGGCGAACAAGTGCGAATGATGTTTCCACACTTTTGCCGTTGCCAATGAAAATCTGCTATTTTTATAATATATTAGTATTATTAGAATATATTATTAGTATATTTGAAGTACAGAGCTCCCGTTGGGATTCGGATTGCTCCCTTGTTTATTATGTACAGTACATCACCTCAGTGCAGGGTATTTACATTTATTCAAGTGTTGTGCAAATCATGGCTTCTAAAAAAAAACAGAAAGATGATTTCAATTGAAACAAAGCAAGAAATCATCAGGAGGAGTGAAAGTTGACAAAAACTTCCTTGTCAAATGGGGAGAGGTTCAGGAGTTTACCAACACTCACTATCCAAACATAGCCGAGGCCAACAGGATCAATGATCTCTACAGTGACACCCTTGCCCGTCATTTCCGACAGGTGTTGAAGAAGAGAGAGAAACAGACCACCTTGGACATGTTTTTCAAAAAGCAAGCTGCCAAAAAACAAAGGATGGAACAAGAGAAGTTGACCCTGCAAGCTCTGGTAGCCTCTCCTGAATCTGACTCCAATTAAAAAATAATAAAAAGAGACCTGCTGCAATGTGTAAAAAGTCTGTATCTGTATGAATGTGTGAAGTAAGTGTTCCTCCACCTCCTCCTCCTCACATCTGACTACCTGGCATAATTGGTGACTGCTCCATTTTCATTTTTTTCATGGTACAGTATGGTTATTTTATGCTGCGGAACGAATTATGTTTTAATATGTATTTCTATGGGAAAATGCATTTCGTATAACGGACTTTTCACTTAACAGACGTGCACCTGGAACGGATTAAGTACGTTATATGAGGCACCACTGTATTATAGTAATTTTTTGCAAATTAATTTTTGTAATTAAATATTAAGTTTTTACTTTCTATAAAAATGTTTTTATATACAAACTTTTTGTTGTTTTATCATTTTACATGCTTTACATACAAAAATGATATAAAGTGATTTAAGTTTTAAAATTGTCTTCTCTGTAAACACATTATCAAATAAAACAGTGAATCTTGAAGAATTTGACAGAGAACTAGCATGTAATTTAGTATTTTTTTCTATGAAAAAAAAAAATTTAAGTATCTTTGAATCAAAAATATGAATAAGCAGAATAATTATTTTTACTGGATACTATTTTATGCTAATTTATTTAATAACATTTTTAGAACTTTCTATTAAGTATGGGATGAATGATTTTGGAAAATAAAAAGTGTAAACAATATAAGAAATAAATGTGTGTAATGAATAAAAGTGTTAAGAAGCAAATACACCAAAAAAATTATTAGTTACATTTCAAAAATGTTTTCATAGTTAAATAATTTTGTGTGGTCTTTAATTATTACTTCAGTTTTATTCTTCTTTCAATCTATGGTAGGAAACACTTATGTTAATCTTATAAATATAATTATACAATTCTTTATTAAATTTCTGCTATGTGAAAAATACACATGTAAATGTTTAATGTTTATTTTGATGAATATATTCATTCTGTCTGATGGAGTCTCACATAAGAGTTTTATGTTAGTTCAGCAATATAGTATAAAAAAAAATAGAAAAATAACAGAAAGAAGAAAACTTT